CATTTCCATTTCAGTACAGCTGAAGGACACTTATGAGACCAACACTTTCTTCTTCTTGGTGTTTGATCTGTAAGTACCCAGGCCTGGGGCCTATTGGAGAGGCTTCTATTGTAGTCCCCCACCCAGGGCTTCCTGGAGACGAGCAGCCAGCCCCTTACACTGTGGATGCCAAATAAGGTCACAGATGCTTTAGGCAGACCAGCCCCTGGAGTCAGGCTGCGAGGTTTTAAATCCTGGGTCCGTCACTTATGGGCTGGGTGATTTCTGTCAGTATCAGTTTTCCCATCGGTATTGCAGGAGTAATAATGGCACAGTGACTGGCACAATGTAAATGTTAATAATTATGAACTACCATGATGATGACCATGGTGGTCATCCAATACTTATTCTAGACCTTGAGGATACGCAATCCTACTTCATGCACTAATTTTCACAGGGCGTGAACAGAAAGCAATCAAGTCATAAAACACACACAGAGTTATACATATACACATATATGTAAAGCTGAGCGGGGGTCAGAGGGAGTGGGCAGGGAATGCTCTCCAGGAGGTGACCTGAGCAGAGACCTGGATGAAGGAGACCTCTAGCAGAGGGAACAGCCAGAGCAGGGGCCCTGCTGGGTGGGCTTGGCATGTTTGAGGCTTGGCAAGCAAGTCAGGATGGGGGGGAGCAAGCCTGTGGCGATGGCAGGATGCAAGGTCGGTCAGTACCAAAAAGCAGATTATGCAGGCATTTGGGAGGTAAGAATTTTGGAGGGCTGAGAGCAGGAGGGTGATGTGATCTGACTGACTTTTATAAAGGATCCCACTGACTGTAAGGGGCAAGGGTGGAAAGGAGGAAGCCAGCGATATGGGGGCAAGAGGCCCACCAGGGAGACAGGTGGTAGAGATTGTATTTGGGATGTGGTTCAAAGATTGACATCATCGACGTTGTCGTCAGCAGGAGCATCAGCGGCAACGTGTCACTGTTCCCCTGCTTGTGCACCAACAGGGCTATTGAGATGAGCTCCTTGTCACAGGGCCCTCTGCCCCCAGGGACCAGTGGGCCTTTTAGCTGGGAGAGCTTCTGTTTTCCCAGGAAAGGAAAAACGATACTGTCCATTTCACCAGGCTCCAAGCATCAAATTCGAACAACACAAAGTCCTCTGTGAACCGTGCACTCAGACTTCTTACCATTGTTACTGGAAAAGGTTCCCAAGGAAGGGAACTCTCCAGCTCCCATGCCCCCGCTCCATTGGAGTCCTCACTAAAGAACACACACCTCTGTTGCACGAATCATTGTTGGAGAGCTGTCTTGACTTCTCTATACATAACTGCTAATTTAGGGACTAGCTTTGAGAAAATTATTCAAGGAGATTTTGTGTTGCTGGAACACTTCATTTTGTAGCCATACCGAACACGTGCAGTGTTAAGTTTTTCTTGGAGACACAATTTAACTTGGCCTGTGTGTACAGTTCAACCACGAGCTCCAGGAAGGCAGGAGCCTGCTGATGGACCTTGCCGGGGTCCCAGTGTTGACTGGTAAATCTTTTTGCCGCTGCTGCTATTAGTGAGTTCTCCTAGCGTGTTTAAAATGGAATTAAAGTGATCAAAACTGGAGGCACACACTGCCTTTTGGGGACACAGTACCAATCGTGTATGAAACAAGGCTCACTTCTGTAATTTCTGGGTTGCTCCTCAAACAGAACTCAACTCCCCGCCCCACCAGTTAAGTTCAAGGATTTTCTTGCCTCCCTCAGATACTGGCCAGAATTCTTCCCTTGGGCCCTGCTTTTCCTGGAGGGGCAGGCAGGATGCACCTTTCCTATTTAACCAAAGGAGACTTTCCTAGGACCCCTCCAGACTCGCCCAGCTCTAGCTATCTCAACTCCGTTCGGTGGCACTGTCCCGTAGAGCCCTTGGGGGCAGCTCAAATGTCTCTAACCTTTGAAGAAGTTGCTTGGGGAAGCTATTTTTAATGCTGCCCCAAATTGCCCTTCAGGGTATAACTAGATGATTCTAGCAGAAACCTCTTTCTAGATCATCCCAAGTGAGAAAATGGAACCGCAATTCTTAATCCTAAGAAATCCTAAAATAGGTAAAACTGCTCTTCCATCACTACTGTTGCTTCTCTTTGTTCCTGGGAAAAATCAGGATACTCCTGTCCTTCTGATCTGGGTCTGGGGCCTTGTGCCAGTGGCTTAAGTTCCCTCCCCCCTCCCAACCCTGATTTTGACCCTGTTGGATCCCAGTCCATGCTGTCACTCCCACACATGGGGGGACCTGCGCACTGGTGCCATCCCCCAGCCCCCAGTCTCCCTTGTTCTTCTTTCAACCTTCCAAGACAGCCTCTCCACTCACTTCCCTAGCTCCTCCCCACAGACCTTGGTCCTTTGTGGGGAGCAGCCCACTTTGCCCCTGGAGGTGTTAGGGTGGGAAACAGTTTTCTGGGAGCAGGGTAAGGAGGGGGTAGCCTTGGGGCACATCCAGCTACAAACCCTCTGTCCCCACAGGATGAAGAGAGGGGAGCTCTTTGATTACCTCACTGAGAAGGTCACCCTGAGTGAGAAGGAAACCAGGTGAGGGTCCACTTGCCCCTCTCCCTACTTCCGGCCTGAGTCCCTTGCTTAGGCACCGAGGTCTTGGAGGAGGCGTGGCGTGCACCCGTCTGGGTCGGCAGTGTGCTCCGCTGGCTTTGGTGGCCTCCTTTCCTCCTTGACTCAGCCAGGGTAGGCCTGGCCTGTCTTGAGTCCTCCCTCACTCGCAGTCCAGCTGGCTTACGGGCTTTGGTGTCCCTGCCTGTTACCTGACCCTGCAGAGTAGCAGATGAAAGTAACCTGTTCCTGTCCCACCCCAGAAAGATCATGAGAACCCTGCTGGAGGTGATCTTCACCTTGCACAAACTCAACATCGTGCATCGGGATCTGAAACCTGAGAACATCCTCCTGGATGATGACATGAATATCAAGCTCACAGACTTTGGCTTTTCCTGCCAGCTGAAGCCAGGAGAGAAGCTGCGAGGTCCGGTAACATGGCCTTGGCCCATGTCAGAGGCTCAGGCTCTCTCCCCAGCTCTCCTAGGAACAGAGGTTGCCTGGGTTTCCCCCACAAAGTAAAAATCCTACCATTTCAGGGCTGGGTGTTTCTTCCCTGGACTGGGCTGAGCCAGGTTCCCACTGCCTGCATTCCAGGCCAGGATAGCTAGAAGTGACCAGGCCACTGACGGTGCCCCATCGGGTGGCCACAGGACCCAGCACCCTGGCCCTGCCCTTGGCCCTGGGCCAGGCCCGTGTTCAGAGAGTCCCAGCCCAGCCACCACTTCGGTTCCTTCTCCATTGTCTCTTTGGGCTTTCCTCTTCCAAGTGCCTCTGCTGACCTCTTCCGATGGAAACTGTCCCTGCAGAGGTCTGCGGGACCCCCAGTTACCTGGCCCCTGAGATCATCGAGTGCTCCATGGATGATGCCCACCCTGGCTATGGGAAGGAGGTGGACATGTGAGTGTGTTGGGGGGAGGGAGGTGACCCGTAGGGACAGGGATGCCCCCATGGCTGGGAGCCCCTGGCTGGGGAGGAGGGCACGGTGGGAGCTACAGCTGGCCCGCCTGCCTTCCTCCCCGCTGCCCGCTGCCAGGTGGAGCACGGGGGTCATCATGTACACGCTGCTGGCCGGCTCCCCACCCTTCTGGCACCGCAAGCAGATGCTGATGTTGAGGATGATCATGAGTGGCAACTACCAGTTTGGCTCACCAGAATGGGATGATTACTCGGACACTGTGAAGGACTTGGTGAGAGGAAAGGCCTCCTGGCTCGGGGGTCAGGCGAGGGGCACGTACAGTGGGGAGAGGGGAGTGTACCGTGCATGCCACGGGTTGGAGGCCCTGCCAGGAGGGACCCCCCTCCATAGACGTCTTCCGTTCTGTCTCGTTCTCTCAGGTCTCCCGCTTTTTGGTGGTGAGTCCCAAAGGCCGCTGTTCGGCAGAAGAGGCCTTAGCGCATCCCTTCTTCCAGCAGTACAAGGTGGAGGAAGTGCGTCACTTCAGCCCCCGGGGGAAGTTCAAGGTACTTAAGCTCGCCTGCCACTCAGGGCCCCGGGGTAGGTGCTACAGGCCCCTGAAGTCCAAGCTCCAGGTGCCCTTCTTGGGGACTCCTTACGTCCACGGGGTTTCCAGAGCACCCGCCCTTCTCCTCCCGCCCAGCCCTGTGATGGTTGCAGCTCAACTTCTGGCTCCGACAGCCTTAAGCCCTGCGCCTGCTGTTCGGGTGGGAATGGGGGTAACGGGGGCGGGGGGAGGGCAGGCGGGAACGCTAGGACAGGCCCAGCGGAAACCACACAAGCCTTCGTGGCAAACAAGCTCAGGGCCTGCCGTCACGGACCGGCAAGGAAACAGGCCGCGGGTGGGTCCAGCTCTCAGGCCAGGCCCTCCGCAGGTGATCGCCCTGACGGTGCTGGCTTCCGTGCGGATCTACTACCAGTACCGCCGGGTGAAGCCCGTGACCCGGGAGATTGTGATCCGGGACCCCTATGCCCTCCGGCCCCTGCGGCGACTCATCGACGCCTACGCTTTCCGGCTCTATGGCCACTGGGTGAAGAAGGGGCAGCAGCAGAACCGGGCAGCGCTCTTCGAGAATACACCCAAGGCTGTGCTCCTCTCCCTGGCTGAGGAGGTCTACTGACGGGCAGGCCAGCAGGCCAGGTGGGACGGGCGTCAGGCCGGGAGGAGAAGCCACCGATATGGAGGGCACAGGAGTGAGAGCGGGTGCAGGCCTCTGTCCAGAGGGGGCACTTGGCCCCAGCCACTCTCCCCTCTTGGAGGCGTCATGCGGTGGTCAGTGCAGTTGGAGCCAGGCCCACGGAGTGGGTGGTCCAGAACCCACTGTGGTCCAGAACCAGAAGCACCCTGCCTCTCCACAGCCCAGCTATACCACCATGTCCGCTTGTCCTCACGGGAGGCCCACAGTTACTGACACTCGGTGCACCGCCTTTAGGGTCCCAGGGTGAGGATGAAAGAGAACAGTCTGAGAATCGCAATCACGGGAGATTTTACTGACCTCACAAAGTCCAGTGACAGCACGGGAGCAGGTTCTTCTCTGGGGCCATGTTTTTAGAGGCACAGGGCAGCCCTTACATAATTAATAATAGAAAGGAAAGCTTCTGCTGTTTGTCTTTGTGGAGTATTCACTCTGTGCCTCCCATGATACACAGTTGCGCCTGGTAAATCCGTCGTTCTCCTAGACCCTTTTAAGACTGACAGTGTGCTTTAAAGAGCCCACAGAACTGCATTTCACATACGGTGGAAACTAGGTTCCCTCGGAGGTGCATGAAACCCCACAAATAAGGCAAACGAAGGAATCATTTTCCTTCTACAGCAACTTGCTGGGAAAACAAGGAGACCTGGGGAAATTCTGCCTTGAGCAAACAATGTCAGGTCCCCGGGTCAGACAGTGAGAAAGTTGGAGGGAGCAGATTTAAAATATTTTCACAAACTGCCTTTCAGAGCACTGCGCCCCAACTGTTTTGAGTATGTGGCCCCCATACGGTCAGTATTTGACCTCTAAGAGAAACGTCCGGCTCCTGGACACAATCAGTAAGTTGGGCCCCTTCTCCAGGAGACAGTGGCGCCCCTCCGTGGAGGTCAGGGTCCTTTTCCTGCCCGGGGGAGAGGTGTCTGCCACAGGGAGCGGGGAGGGAATGGACGCAGTCCCAAGTTTGGCTGTGTTTGGCATGTGGCCAGGAAGTGCCACGGGTGCCACGGGGGACTCTCCTCATCTCTGTGTGGCTGCTCACAGCTCCCCAGGTGGTCGGCCTGCACTGGAAGCACAGCGGAAGCCTAGGTTGTCTGAGGCTGAATCTGGAGTATTGCCCATTCTGCCACCAGAGAAGGGGAGAGAGAATGGACATTTGTTGAGAAAGGGACCCAGGGCCTTACCCAACTCTCCTGCTCCAGCTCCCAGGGCCTGCTGTGGTCTGGGGCGCCTGGGGACTGGTGGGGGGGCATACACAGTCTGGTGTGTGAGGGTAGGGCCTGAGGGTGTGCCATTCCTGGGGGAAAGGGGTAAGAAGGGACCTTGGGTGGAGGAAGTGAGGGTGGTCCTGAGAGACTGAACTGGAAGGAAGGAAAGGCCACAAGTAATAACTTCGACTGTCTGTAGTTTAGAATAACTCAGTCCAAAAAAGCCTGTCGGCAAGAAGTGAGACTATCATAGCACCAATCCGTACCTCACACTCTCCAGAGAAGTTTCACACGTATTCCTTCATTTGCCATTTCCCTTACTGCTCTGGAAGGTGTGTTTTGTTCACCATCTCACAGACCCAGAGTCAGACACTAGAAAGATTTAAATGTCTTGCCCAAGGCCAACCACTGCTTTAGTGGCACAACAGAATCAGTGGCAAACCCAGTTTCCTGGTCCCCAGGCCAATACTTTCTCCACTACTTTGTCCTAAAGAAAAAGGTGAGGAAAATCCAGGGGCTCAGTGTATCAAAGAAACGCCTGCAAACCTGACACCCTGAGGCCACAGGATCAGTGGCTTCTCGACAGTCCTTCCGGAACCCAGGAGCAGGAGGAGTTGCAGGGAGATTAACCAAAATAAATCCACAGATGAACAAGGTGGAAGGTCCTAGAAGGGGACTCGGGAGCCGGGGACTCCACCATTCAGGTGCCACCACTAGCCATCTGTGTGAAATGAGCAGGCTCCAGGACCTCCCTGAGCCTAGTTTTTCTTGATTGTAAGACAAAACGGTTGTAGAAAATGACTTTTCATGCGCACACTTGTTGGAAGAGTCAATATTTCCATGACCCCTGGCCATGACCTATCGATGTGGCCATTCCACTTCCCTCTCTCTGCAAGCCTAGCTCGGAGGACAAGAGGGGAAACCACATAATTAAGATGCTGGACACAGAGTCTGCCTTGGGGCTGACAGCTGGCAGGAAAAGGCACCAGCAGTCCCAGGCTCTTGGCTTTCTATGGCAAGTGTGGCTTGCTTCCTCTTCTGAACCCACAGCCCCCAGTGGAGGGGGAGGCACGGCAGCGGCGGCCATGCCAGATCTGGTGCCACCTGTGCTCTGGGAGACCAGGACCCAGACCCTCAGCCCCCAGCTACCGAGCCCCTCACCTGGTGGTGACCCGGGCCCGGTGATTGGCAGAGCCATCGGCCGTGTCGATCCAGGACGCCCCCCGGAGGACACGCATGTCCTGGTCGGCAGGCTGGTATGGTGACGCTGTCCACTCCCACACGTTGCCCACGAGGTCAAAGAGCCCTGAAGCACAGCGGCAGGTCTGGCCCAGGCTGGGGAGCGCCACCCAATGGCCCTGGGGAGCTAATGCTTCCCTGTGCTGCTTCTCTCCACCTCACTTTTCAGGCAGGACCATCCCACCAGCCGAGCTGTGAACGCTGACATGACAGCAACCCGACGAGCAATCTTACCGTAGTTGTTCTGTGGGGGGAAAGCGTTCACCGGGGAGACTCCGTGGAAGCCATCCTCAGCCTTGTCGCCCTTGGGGAACTTTCCCTGAGGGAGGGAGAAATTTAGGCTCAAAGATTTACCATCCCGTCCCAAGGCAGCTGCTCCCACCTGCCCAGAGGAGTTTAAACCAAGGCCATCTTGCGGTATCCTCTGCGGTAGGGGAAGGGCACGGGGCAGTGACCCTAGGTTCCCACCCTGAGCTCCCTAACCAGCTGCCTCGTGTCCTCTACTATGATCTCCTGGCTGGATTAGGAAATGTGTCGTTTCCCCTGTGTCCACACCAGTCTGCCCCACTCCCACTTTCTCGACTTCCTCCCCATGTGCCTTGAGAAGAAAGGCTCTGTCTCCCCTCCTCCATGACCGGCACCCGTCTCCTCAGGAACGAGACGCTCATCCTGTGCTCCCCTGTACCATCGCTTTCCCTTCTATCACCAACAGGCTTAACTCTCCCTCATCTGCTCTGACCCTGCCTTCCTCACCTCCTGCTTTTTACTGCCAACATTCTGGAAAAGTAACCTGTATTTGCTGACACATTTTGTTCAACTTGTTCATTCTGTTTCTCATTGAAATTGGAGTTCAGCTGCCCCTGCTCCATGGGGGCTGATCTTATGAAAGGGAAGATGAAGGGGCTACAATTTACTCATCGCCAACTATGTGCTAGGGCTGCTACATCTATGTCTTTAATCCTGACCAGGTTGTGAGGCAAGTATTTTCTCCCTTTAAAAAGCTAGCAACTGGGACTTCCCTGGTGGTGTAGTGGTTAAGAATCCACCTGCCAATGCAGGGGACACGGGTTCGAGCCCTGGTCCAGGAAGATGTCACATGCCACGGTGCAGCTAAGCCTGTGTGCCACAACTACTGAGTCTGCACTCTAGAGCCCACAAGCCACAACTACTGAGCCCATGTGCCACAACTACTGAAGCCTGCACTCCTAGAGCCCATGCACCACAACAAGAGAAGCCACTGCAACGAGGAGCCCGCGCACCGCAACGATGACCCAATGCAGCCAAAAAAAAAAAGCTAGCAACTGAGACTCAAAACAGTTAATTTAACAAAGATCCCACGGTGAATAAGTCAGATAAGACTTTTTGCAAAGCTCTGATCCCAAGATCATCTAAAAGGTCAGTCTACCCCTGAGGCCCTTTTCAAGGCTTCACCCTAAAATGCTGGTGCTGGGCTCCCCTCATGCTGCAGAGTCCCCTTGGGGGATGTCATTCCTGCCTACAGTGTACGCTGTTGACTCCAAACCAGTTGCTCTGACCCAGACCTCTGTCCTAAGCTCCAAACTCATACTTTCAACCTCTTACTGAGCATATCCATGACCCAAAGGCAGCTTAAGCTAGGCTGATCCTAAACTGACCAAGTTCTATCCCTCTGACCCCCAACACGCATATTATCTATTCTGGATAATGGTCACACCAGCACCCTCTTGCCCAAGCTTGGATTCATGCTTGAGTCCTTCTCTCTTCCACTCCTCCATGTTTGGCGAAGTACCAAACCCTGTCTCTCCTCTCAGGCAGGCGTCTCCCACCTGGCTTCCTCTCGATTTCACTTCCACTTCATGCAAGTGTTCACATCCCTGGGCCATGGCCGCAGCCTCGGATTCAGAGACCTCCTGCAGCTCTACTTCATTTGATCCCACACAAATTTTCAACAATCAGCATCCCCCAAATCAAAATGATGTTGTCGCTCCCCTGTTTCAAGACTTCTGTCGGCTCCCCACTGCCTGGAGGGTAAAATCTAAAACCACATCTTGGCACCCCTGGTCCTTCATAATCTGCCTCCAATCCACTGCCTACTTCATCTCCTATACCTCCTGTTTCCCTGTGCGCTAGCCTCTCCGAGTCTGGCATGTCTCTGAACACACAGCACCCTTTCCTTATCCACTGCTGACATGCATGTTGTTTCCTCCACTTTTCTCATGGCAAACTCCGGTTCAATCAGCTCAAATGGCATGTTCACTGTGAAGTCACGCCCTGCTCTTGCAGCACAAGAGAGCACACTCCCAGCACACCCCCCAGCACATGCTGCACATCTTCACTATATAGCCCCACCACGTTGTCTTCTGCTTTACCCCTTTACCAGCTTTCAGTTCCATTACAACACGAAGGCCTCTGAGTCCCACAGCCTAACACAGTGTCTAGCCCACAGCAGGTCTCAATCAACACTCTGAGAAGGGACAGGAGTGAGGAACGTGTGTCTTACCTGCCACAGGTTGGTGCGGTTTGGCTGGAACTCGTTTCCCCAGGGGTAAACCTGACCTGCCAGGAGGGCAAGGAGACAGCGGAGGAGGGAGAGGTGAGGAGTTGGGGAAGAAGGGAAAGGTAGAAAGAGCGAGGCAACCGAAAGGAAGTGATGAGAACAGAAGAATAAGATTACTTACTTTTACTTCCCATGCCCCTCCCTTCCACTCACAGTATTGCACTCGGAGGCCCTGGCTTCTGATTTGCTCCAGGACAGGACAATTCTAGGTGTGGTTCTGACCAATGCCATTCTGCAAACTATTTGTTACCAGCTCATGCTGGGATAAGTACAGAAATTGAGAGTAAGCATTGAGAAACTTGTTCTTTAGACTTAGACTGGATAAATGAACAAGCAACCTCATTTATCACATTAATAACTTTGACTATTGGTATAGCCAGTGTTCATTCAAAGACTGTGTAGAGGTTGAATATGGGAAATTGCTATTTCACTCTAACTTTCTGTTTAGCTAGGATTGCAAACTAACAAAGTTATAAGCAAATAGCAATGTTATATTAATCCCTATACAGCTATGGAAAAGGTATACAGTATAGGTAATCCTTTTCTTTTTCCCTATGCTATGTTCTTCTGATTATACTTATTGAAATGGAACTTGTCTGTAGACTCTCCAATAATTAAAAAAATATGTCTGTTTTTTTCATTTCATTTTCCAGTTACTAATTTTTATGCTATTTTATGGAAGTATTGGTCTGAGATGGATTAGAAATAACACCAACAACTGGTCCATCACTACACAGTGTAAGAAGCACTGCTCGGGGCTTCCCTGGTGGTGCAGTGGTTAAGAATCCGCCTGCCAGTGCAGGGGACATGGGTTCGAGCCCTGGTCCGGGAAGATCCCACATGCCGCGGAGCAACTAAGCCCGTGCGCCACAAAGACTGAGCCTTTACTCTAGAGCCTGTGAGCCAGAACTACTGAGCCCGTGTGCTGCAACTACTGAAGCCCGCGCGCCTGGAACCCATGCTCCGCAACAAGAGAAGCCACCGTAATGAGAAACCCACTCACCGCAACGAAGAGTAGCCCCCACTCACTGCAACTAGAGAAAACCTGTGCACAGCAACAAAGACCCAATGCAGCCAAAAATAAATAAATAAAATAAAATTTAAAAAAGAAGCACTACTCTAGGGAGCACAAACCTATCCCACCCTTTAAAGCCCCCCATGCAAGGTAGGATGGGGAGAAAGAATAAAGGGAAATCGCTTGGCATCTCTATACCCTTCAAGCCCCCTCGGGCAGCAAACTCCCACTCTTCTTCAATGGGCAGCCGTTTCCCCCGCCAAGCACAGTAGGCACGGGCATCATTCCAGCTCACGTGTACCACTGGGAGCTCCAGTTTCTCTCGGATGCCAGAGCCGGGACCTGCAGGCTGATAGCCAGGATGAAGTGAGACAAGCTTCTGGGAGCTCATGGAAGTCTGAGGAAGGCTAGGCTTAGGGTGCCTGAGTTCAGCTTTTACCACAGATGGAGCAAGGAAGTGGGAAGAGAGAGCCTGGTGAGTGAGGAGAGGTCCAGAGTCAGAAAGAAGGACTAAACATGAGACAAAAGGGAGAAATGGGATGGGCCAGGGGTAAAAGGATTAGGGCAGAGAAAACAGGGTGGCTTGGCTGCTTCCCTAAAATTTCTCTGTCATCCTTTTAAACTCAGTATTTCTAGATGGGCAAGGGTCTAGGGAAGCCAGGCCTCCCAAGAGTCAACAGGGGGAGAAAACAAAGTAGAGGAACCAACCCTTACCTGCCTCCAGAATGCCCTTTCCACTGGAAGCCACCAGAGGAGAGACTGCAAAAAGGAAGGAACATGACTAAAAAGATGCTCTGACCCAGCGAGGGCACCTTCCTGACTGACACCCAGTAGGCAAAGCAGAGACTTCAGGCTGAGACTCAGGTGGTCCAAGTGAGGCTGTGTCCAAAATCTCACCACCCGTATTGGAGGGAGGCTTCTCAAGAGGTCCTCTTGCTGGTCCAGGGAGTATACTGAACGCTGTGTATGTCTGCATCTTTACAGAGTCTCTCTATACAGAAACCAGCACAGGGTGAACTTCCTGGGAGTGTGTGTTCATCTGACTCTTCCAGGGTGGGTCTCTCTTGCTTCCTCCCTGCCTCTGGTTCTCAGGTTTGATTCTCTACTGTGGCCCAGGGGACCCCAGATCCCACAGGATTCTCTGTCTAGGTCCCACTCCCATCCCCTCAGCTGCAAACCTAGGTTCTCTTACCTGCATTTTCTGGGTTGCTTTGTTTCTAAGCTCATCAGAGACAAGGTCCTCGAAGACAAAGCTCCACCCAAACACCTCAGCCTCTGTCTGGTACTTTTTCTCCCTGACAAACTCCCTGAAAAGAGATGTTTCATACGGTTTAGTTAATAGGGTTCTGTGCTCCACCCTCACCCTCTCCTGTTCCAGAAAACCTCATACACCCTTATCCTATTAGTCACACATCACAGAATTTTCATGAACTACAAGGAATTCACCTGAGAGCCTGAGCAGATTTTCTTTTAAAATCTGTTGCTGTGTGTGCAGTTCACAAACAGGAGAATTCACTCTTTTTGGTGTATAGTTTTGTGAGTTGTGACAAAGCACGTAGTCACTATCACAATCAAGATACAGAGCAGCAGTTCCATCAACCACCCCCCAAAATTCCCCTGTGCCTCTGCAACCACGGATCTGTTGTTTGTCTCTATAGTTTTGCCTTTCCCAGAATATACATTCACATAAATTGAATAATACAGTAGTATGTAGTGGGGGGGGTCTGGCTTCTTTCACTTAGCATACTGCTTCCAAGATTCATCCCTGTTCCTTTTTTTTTTTTGCAGTTTGTTGCCTTTCATTGCTGAGTAGTATTTCATTGGATGTATAGGCCATATTTTGTTTATCCATTCACCAGTTGCAGGTCATCTGGGTTACCTCCAGTTTTTGGAGATAATAAAGCTACTGAGAAGATTCAAGGGTGGGAATGGGTCTCTCTTCGGAAAGGTCTTCGTCACATACCTAATGTCACAACAATCACAGGAGGGAGGCAGAACAGGGGTTATTATCTCCCTCTACCAGATGAGGGAGACTGAGTCAAACAAAAATGACTTGCCGAGATTTTAGAATGGATTTTCATATAGTTTGGTATGGCTGAGCAAATTTCAGCAAGCAGATTTCCAGGGTAAGATGGACTGTTTTCACTGGGCTAAGTGTACTCCATCTGTGCTAGACCTCTGATATGAGAAGACATCGTTCACCCATCAAAGGGACATTGAGAATGGAGGAGGAGAAGAGATTTGGTAGCAACAGCTATTTACCAACCTGTGCCACCTGAACGGTTTGAGACTCTTTTACCAGAGAGGCGAAGACAGATTATGGGTTCTAAGCAAAGTTTAGGGGCTTCCTGGAGGTGACATTATATTTCCATAATATAAAAGGTCAATTTAAAATATGAAAGAATGCATCTAGGGCTTCCCTGGTGGCAAAGTGGTTAAGAATCCGCCTGCCAATGCAGGGGACACGGGTTCGAGCCGTGGTCCGGGAAGATCCCACATGCTGCAGAGCAACTAAGCCCGTGTGCCACAACTACTGAGCCTGCGCTCTAGAGCCCTTAAGCCACAACTACTGAAAACCGCGTGCCTAGAGCCTGTGCTCCGCAACAAGAAAAGCCACCGCAATGAGAAGCCTACGCAATGAAGAGTAGCTCCCGCTGGCCACAACTAGAGAAAGTCTACACGCAGCAACGAAGACCCAACACAGTCAAAAATAAATAAATAAAATTAAATTAAAAAAAAAAAAAGAATGCATCTACCTAGCTAGCTATTTCTGGTTGTCATGATGCGGTGCAAGCCTGATCAGAAGTGATTTCTCCTTTGATTTTAATAACTTTCCTGTTTAAAAATATTTTTTAAAGCATATATAACATATTATAGAAAAACAAGGAAACAGAGGTAGGTAAAAAGAAAAAAAACTAAAATCATCCATTATCACACCAACTAAGATATACCTGTCCATATTCTCTCCCCCTTCACCCCACAGCCAAGGATTTTTAAATAGCTTTCAGAAGGTGCTTCCTGTAATTATTTTCCTTTGGAAGTTACAAAAACATGAGCAGAATCCGTCACCTAATGCCACGTTGCATCTTCCAGGTCTTTCTTAATGCATATACATTCTATACACATAGTTTTAAAAAATGGGATCATACCCTATTTAGTATTTTGTAACCTACTTTCTTCACTTAACACTTCAGAACTATCTCTTTTTGACAACAGGATTTTTAAGGGATGCTAAGTAGTCTGTTATATTGATACAATATGTTTAAGTAAGTGATCCTAAAGTTGTTAACATTTGTTTACAAGATGACATTGTAAATGTATTAGCGTTGTATCAATAGCTAAACGTTTTTTAGCTAAATGTTTTTGGACAACTTTTAATTCTTCAAGACAAATCCCTAGAGGTGGAAGCAATGAGTCAAAAGGCCTGAGGAGTATACTGACAATCCTTATGCTTATTTCAGCCTGTGTCTCCTGAATCAAATTTTCCCCAAAACTTTTTATCCTGAAAAGTTTTAAGTCCACAAATGTAACATTTAAGTCATTTCTCACATTTGCTTTATTGTCTTCCCATCCCCTCCTCTTCCTTTCCCTCTCCTCCCTATATACTCCCTCCTCTACCATTTGAAGGTAGTTATAGGTATGTCCTGGATCATTTTCTACTTTAACCTACCCAAAACATCACCTTGGGGACACTGACGCAGCTCAACATGGCTTCTTAGACTAAGCTGGAACCAAAATGTTTGATTCTGGAAACAATGCCATTTCCCTAAGTAAATGTAAAGGGAATTTAAGGGACTCTCAGCTACTATGACCCTTCTCCCAATTCCTTCTCCCCTGTTGCAGAGGTTTCTGTTGAGTGTCTGACTTCTGCCCATATTTCTCAGTGCTATGCCCAGTGCGCTGGACAATCCACTGGCTCAAGAGTCTGAGGATCTCAGTTCCAGGCCCAGCTCTGCCACTAATATCTGGACTTCAGAGAGATAT